GTTTTCTACACTGTGTCAGAATTTCTAGGGACTTGATTGGTCTTTAAGGAAAAGAAATTCCTCTGATCTCATTTTTCCAAACTTACAACACCTTATCCATATTGCTTGCGTCATAGTTAAGTTATGGTCCTGCTATTCGACTGAAGTATGCTACTTTTAGGCCTTGTTCATATGAAACCACCCGAACGGCGATTCGGGTAACTCGCATTCCTTACATGTGGTCTACGTGCCATACATTCCTTTCAAACCGTGCCCGATCACGAATCTCCGAAACTGTATTCATTGTTGTTTGATGAAAACAGGCAAGGTAGCGTGTTATTAATGTCAGAGGTCAACGACCTGCTTGCTGGTGCCCCCCTGCCAGCGTATCTCGGCCGAATGCCGACGTGGTCCCGCCAGAGGTGATGAAGCTCGCCCTAGAACGGACACATTATTTGACCATTACTGCTCTTTAAGTTGCTGCTACGTAAAATTTGGTATTGTATATAAGTAAAGAAATATCACCCCGTAATCCATGACCAGGTGAAGTCCAGGTAAATTATATGTTTCCAAAATTAGAGTTTTAAATACTAGTTGGATGTAAAGAGTGTTAGCTATGTGCATTTCATACTTATATCCTATTTAATTACCTTTATTACCATAATCATGGTAATAGTATAGTACTATAGCATTTGTGATGTGAACGCAAAAGCAGACAGGTTTGCCCTTGGAGATGACAATAATCAGAAGCTTTTTTTAATCAATAAGCACAAGTACAGTCGACGTACAGAGTGTACACATTGTCAAAGGAAACGTACCTTCACATTCACATTACCATTCACATTACCATGTACTATTTACTACTGGAATTAACTGCAATGCTCATTATCATGATTTGAAAATGCCTGTCTCCCGTCTCCTCAACATCTGACCTAAACGGCTGTCATATGGAACATAAACCTGACCTTAAACTGCCCACGGTCAGAAGATCGTCAATCTAGATACCAGACACCTACACGGCTACAACACCACCCGCAGTCCATGGTTTTATACAAAATATTCTATCACGATGTATTCTCAGCATCTAGAATTACTATATCCCAAATAACTAACCACGAAAGTGTCCATTTTCAGTAGACTGTCTCCAATCTCTACAAATATTCTTATCAAAGACAATATAACCGATCTAACCAGGTCGACCATCACCATAATTGCAGATGAGCATGTGCATTTGGGCAATTTGATGTCATTTCGAAAATCACTCAGTCCCCAAAACACGCATATCAGAATGCGACGCCCTATCCATACGGGTCCATACACAATCAAAGTTTAATATTTCCCGGGACTGTAACGTAAAGCAATAAGGCTGACAGCCTAAGGAATGAGTGACGCATCTGTGACGGTGTTCCCTTTAGGTTTCGGGTGCAGAGAACTTGATTGATAGGCGACGGGCAGGGCAAAATTACCCGCATATCTTATTGACTGTCTGCTTGACATTTGCGATACCGAACCGCAAGGAAGAGACACAATCCCGTCTGATCAGTTGAAGGATGACAGTGCACTCTTCACCACATTACGCGTTACACAAACAAGGCGCCAGCTCTACTCAGAAAAAATATTTCATGAAGAAATGAATTTATTCAATTCTTTAACTGATTACTAACATGATTTGGAAAAAACACAAAGCAACATCCCTTTCCAGAACATAAGATATTCCCTTCATAATCAGTGGGTAAAACTTGATTTATTTACTGAACGTTTCCATCTTCATAAACTCTTTTAGTAGAAATGTAGAAATATTGAATTGCACGTTTTCGCCTTTCCCCCAGGCCGGTATTCAAGAATCAATATCGCTGGAATATTGCACTTAACGCCTGTCTGACAGACGGCCTGATTGCGAGATAAGCATGTACAGAAGTCGCCGGAGGTGTCAGTTGACATAACTTTGATCCCTCCGCAATTTGACAGTAGTTGTGGGTGAAGGAAGCGGAAGCACGAACTTTGCGATCTTTGTAACTGAACTCGTGTAGAATGACGTATGCCGATACCGCCAAGACGAGGAAGCAAACTGCTCGATGACCTTTTTAGAATGTATGGTGTAAACATAGCTGCCGCCTCAATAAAGGCCTGCCGTGATTTCTCTTAGTCAGATACAAAATACATCATGCTACTGGAGAAACTCTCTGACAAGTCAGACTTTTTAAAGTAGCATCCACTTAATCCACAATTTTTCAGAAGTGA